ATTTCGGACGAATAATGGAAGAATCGTCTGCCGAAGACAAAACTTAATTCGTTTACATCCATCTTTCTTGTTTTCTGCCCTAGAAAGGGTTTATTCGATTAACAAAATAATAATGAAGATAAACAAATTTGTGAAGGGTCCGATTAAAAGAAAAATCATTTTGTGAGGGGTCCGTTTTTAAGTTAAAATATTTTGTGAAGGGTCCGTTTTTATGAAAAGATATTTTGTGAAGGGTCAATTTAACGGACCCAAATTTCTTCTAAACAGCTGTATACACACCTTGCATATCATCAACAAATTTTAATTTTAAGATCGATGTATGATTTAGAAATAATATCAAGTATAAGGCTTCAACTTGAAATTTTCAGAGATTTTACACAACGTCACCTAAAATTAACAAAAATCAGTTTAAAAAAACTGAGATTGATGTTGATTTGGCCAAATAAAAACTTTATTATATCAAAGATGTTGCTAATAATTGTTTCTAGGCAAATATAAGATTTAGACTTGAGACTTTGTACTGCGTGTGTAAGAATATATATATGTATAAACTGCAATATGCTATATTACTGTGTTACAACTTGATACTAATATAAAAAATATTAAACGCAACAAAATTCTGTAAAATGTGCTGTTTATGAAGTTGTTTGTTCAGAAAATCTTTGCATGTTGGAAATATTTTTTCAATACATTAAGCTAGATTGATGCTCTTCTTTGCTTAACAAACTATTTAACGGCAACAGTTATGATAAAATGTGACTATTTTTTTAATAAATCCTTATTTACCTGCTCTCTTCAGCATTTGAAAAAGACTGTTTATATATAAATTAACGTCCTACTTTTATAGTATTATAATTTTAAATGTATAAATTTCTTTTTTAGATTTCCCTATTCATCCTAAAGTGGCAGAATCCACAGCCATAAAAGTATTACATAACCACAGTAAGGGAACTTCCATTGGATATGATTCTCCTGATCTTCAAAATGTTTCTCAAGATGAGAATCATTCCTCCAACTTGAATGACAGTCATCATCATAGAAAGAAAGCTTCATCGGAAAATGCAAAGATCCTTGCAAGTATGTTTTTCTACATGTTCATTTCATCTTTTAGAAACATGTGCTCTTTTTAATTTGTCTCAAAAAAATAACATAATTGCCAATGATTCTTACTTAATGGTTTCTAAATGTTACTTTTTTTTGATGCTGGGCCGCTATTTCTTTCTATCTATTTTTTACAGAATTGATTAATTTACCACCCCTAGCAACGATTTTACATCAGCCCCAGTTGGGCTTAAAATTGGCTAGGTCCCGTAAGAACATGCACCAAGGGACCTATATTGGTATGTCTAGATTTTTCAATATTGGTCCTAGAATGACTTTCAATATCGTAACAAGATTTGTTTCAATCTAGGACCAATAGTGAAAAATCTAGACACCCCGATTTTTACCCAACATTATTGTAAGTCTATAAGGGTCCTACATAGAAAATGATATTTGTCAATTATTGAAAGCCATTCTAGAACCAATATTACAAAATATAGTCATCCTAATATTGGCTTGTAGAGTGTTGGTTGAGGCAAGTGTGTTCAGATCACGGCTGCAAGTTGCCCATGTGGGGCTAGGCTAAAGGACCCTGTTGTGTCTAATCTAGACTGAGTAGCAACAGTACGAGGAGTTAAATGTCGCAATTGTAAATTGCAAGTCACTTGTTCACTGTGTTCCATGCATCAAACTAGGCATGCTCAGATCACGTCCGAAAGTCACCTATTTAGAATGTTCGTTAGGGACGGCCCGCGAGCCCCCCTTTGTGGGGCTAGACCACTGACAATGACCTTCTTCTATCAACAGGTACCCAAGATAAAACAAGTTAACATGTCTTATATACTAGTGAACTGGAATTTAATAATAGTGGTAGCTACGCTACAGGCTCTGTATCGTAAGCCTAAAAGGGTTATATATAGAAATTAATATTGGTCCTATGTTCAAAACCTTTCAAGGACTAATATTAAAAAATTAAGATACCCCAATAGTGGCCCTATATTGTAAACCTTTAAAGGTCCTACATAGAAATAAATATTTGGCCACAATATAAAGCCGTTCTACGACCTTTTATTACAAAACTTATACACCTCTATCTCGATCCGATATCGAAAGCCATTCTAATAACATTGTCTAGAAAGATATAAGACCATTACAGGCTCGTTATTAAGGTCCAGTTTTGTATTTAAATCTATTAAGTATCTATTAACTATCTGGAAAGACTTAAATTATTTTTATAATGACTTTCTATATCTAGTTCCCAAATAAGTGATTTACAATACAAACAAACCTACCTATAACAGAGTTTTCTTTTTTGTTCATGAGACATTTTTGTTTTTTCATAATTCTCCAAGTACAATGTAAACATTCACCCTTTGGAAAAAAATAATTTTTCTTTGTTTGTCTATGAAACTTGATAGTTTGTCTATGAAACTTCTGATAGAAATTTTGGTAAAATTGTACAGGATTGAAGGAAAATTTTTGTTTAGGATTATTTAATATGAAATAAGAAAATCACAGTGTAAATGCTTTGTCTTAAAACTCTCAGCTGATCCAAATATCTCTAAATTAATTAATTAATAGAATAAACACATATTTTAAAAGGGAAAAATTGCTTTTACTCATTATATGGCTTTTGAGGATAATACAGTGTGATTTGACATAGAAAACTGAACGATGTATGGGGTCTTAAAAATTTATTCTTATTCTTGATATTACAGGATGCAAAAAAATAGGTTACTTAAGCTGCACTTGAGCTATTGGCTCCATTTAAGAGTGGGATTAGAAGACACAATGTGCAAACTGTTTTATCACTGTATTTACAGAATCATTGAATGTGATTTTCACCTTGGTCAAGATTTATGTTTAATGTTGCAAGAGTTAAAAAATTAGATTGATAAAGCTGCATTTGAAATATTGGCAATAGAGTGAGGCTCAGAAGACGTGATGTATAATCCAATTAAACACTCTATTTTCACTGAAATACTGGAAATGATAACTACAAAAATTTTAGCTTAGAGCCGTTGTGGTTCGGGAGGTAGAGCGTTCGCCTTTCAATGGGTTCGAATATCAGCAATGGTTGATACAAATTCCACACCTGAGTCGGTGCGAGCTGGCAAAAAGTATCCTGAGAGGTAAATGGATCATGGGTTAGAGTCCCCTTATGGTCAGGCTAACCATGGAATGCTTTTGTGGTTTTCCACTTCATGAAATGCAAATTCGGGTTAGTTCCATCAAAAAGGCAAAGTTTTCCCAATGCTTGATCCAGGAGTTCCCTTGTTTTCTGGATTAGATTCAAAATTACAAGTCTACGGAGTTGAACATTGGTAGTCATAAACCCAGAATTGGGTCGGTTGTTTATAAAATAAAATATTTTCACATAGGTCAAAATGACAAGCTCTGATATTAGAAAATTGAGTTACCAAGAGCACTGCATGTTTTGATTTCATTGTAAAAGTAGCAATCGAGTTATATTGATAGCTAGCAAATTTCATGGCCCGATGCCCGTGATATTTGAAAACAAATATGATTTTAGAGAAAAGCATTTATTATTTTAACTTTTTGGTTTTATTTAACGACTTTAAAATATCTGGTCAATCGGGCAATTTTATGTAAGGTTTATATTGACTGAATAACAGCTATAAAGCACCGGTTGAGTCGAACATTTCTATATTGAACTAGCATAGGCTGAATAAGGAATATAAAATATCGGTTGAACTTAACAAATCTGTATAGGACTGATATTGGCAAGATAGGGGCGATAAAATGTTGGATGAATCGAGCTATTATATATATGACCCACATTGGCTGTATAGCAGCTTTAAAATATTGGGTAAATCTTACAATTCTATATATGGCTTGTATTAACTGAATATCGGCTATGAAATATCGGTTGTATCGAGCATATATATAAATAAATAAGTCAAAGGGTGGTAGTCTTGCAAGCAGGACAAACAGGCACACAATTTTAAAAAGAGCTAATTAATTTTATTTAACCATCTTAATCAGAGAATGTATATCCAAGTGACACAAAATCGATACAAGTGCTCCTCGGTAGAAGCTAGGGAAAATCTTGCACAATAAATCTGTAAAATGTTTTGTTTTAGGGGATAAGGGAAATCTTGATCATTTTTGCCTGAAAAAATTTTTTGTTTTGATAATAGAATTTTTTTTTGTTTCTGAAGTAATTAAATCCAAACTGTAATGAATGATATTTCTCCTTGAATGAGGCGGAGTAAGAACAAATCACTGACGGAACAATCCAAAGCACCACGGGTTGAAGTATACGCAATTTATCTTTCTAGTCCAAAGGGGTTGTAAAATATTAAAGGTCTTCAGTAGTGTTCATTGTCTTTAGAACTTATGGGCATAACATGTTGCAGACATAAATAAAACATAAGCACCCATTCATCATGCAATTCTATTGATTAAAGAAGTTGCAATTTGTTGGAGAAGAATTTGTTGTTCCTGAGGTGCTTAAAAGAATTTTAATGATGAAATTTGGTTATCATCATTGAAGAAAATAAACATTAAACATTATACTATTGTCCATTTAAATCACATATTCTATATCTTCGATGTACCTCCTTCCCTACATTTTATAAATGCATGCACTTGAAACCATTCTTAATCTTCAGTAAACAGATATATATAATGTTTAATAACTGTTCAGGAATAATAGGACCGTATTCAAGAAAATTAAACTAATAATGAGGCTTGAACAATTCCAAAAATATTTAAAACTATGCATTTAATTATAAAATAATAAAATTTAAACACATAAAAATTATATGTAAAAAAACGCAATATCCTACTTATGTGTATCAAAATATCTATTCTTTTATTTAGCTCGTAAACGTTTTATATCGAATCTGCTGTAAGGATTTGTCCATTTAATTTTAATTATGAAACCAACTCCTCAGCCTTTTTTAATCTGTTCACAAATGTGCTTATACACAGTTATTTACTGCAATGTCATGGTGACTGTCTTACTTAGTTTGAATTTCTTTTAACTTCTTGAAGAAAATACTTGGGAGAAACAGGTATTTTCCTAACTTGCCGGCCCTGATTTTTTCCCCAAGGTTCTTTGTTTAATCTTTAGACAATGCAGTGCCTGCTATGGTGCTGCACAGATTCTGCTACCTGGATCCTAGATAAAATTACCAATGTTTTGCAATTGTAGGTAATATTTTAAACTAATATATCAAATAAAGGCATGTTATTTTTTTTTTTATACAAATGAGATTGACTTGCAATTTTAGTTTTCTAATAAATGTAGTGCTTAGTCAAATAAATTTCAAAATCAATGAAAACAATAATCTATTATAAGTTACAACATTAAGAAAGAAAAAAAAATTAAGCACATTTATTTTCTCTTTTATATATATGCTTGGGGCCTTAAATTTGAAACCTTAATTTCCATTACCTCTTTTAAAGCAATGTGAAAAAGTGAAAAGCTTTTAAAATTGCCTTAAAAAGAACCTTCAATAATGAGACTTATTCTTACAATATAACCAAGAAAATGCTATAAATACAAGCAATTTGTGTTTTAGACTTCTAAGGTAAAACATAAATAAAAAAATAATAATGATAAATAAATAAAGTGCCTGAAGCTTCAGAATAATTTCTTACTAATTAAAAAAAATATTTTTAATCTTTAAAAGCGAAGATTCCTAGTTTTAAGAATCTTAAATATTTCAATAAACCACTTATAGTGATTTTTCCTAATAAAATTAATTAAATCTGTCACTAAAAATTTATTCATTTTAATATACTATGCCAATTATATATAGTTAATTTGTGCCACAATTGGTATTGCCCGATCACCTAACCCATCATAACACTTACTTAAATTCTAATTAATTACCCTTTTTGACACTTAACTTTCAGCTGGAAGACTATTGAATTGAAATGCAACTAATTTCTTCTATGGTGAATTTATTGTCAGCAAAGTTTTTATATACCTACAAATGTGTTGTCGGTAGTTTTCGGTTAGCTGCATGTAAGGAAATGTAACTCTTTTTTAAAACTTTTATTTTATTAAATTTTTTAGTTAATGTCCATTTTGTTCCTTTTTTTTTTCTTCTTTCTTCTTTAAGCCGCAATGGCTCAGGGGATAGAGCGTTGGCCTTCCCATGAAATGAATCTCCAACAATAACTGGCCGAAACGAATCCGCATCCGGCTTGCACCGACCACAGTGCTGACATGAAATATCCTCAGTGGCAGACGGCCTTTGCCATCAGGCTAACTGGCGGAGGTTCTCGTGGTCTTCCTGTCCGTGTAACGCAAATGCTGGTTAGTTCCATCAAAAAGTCCTCCACAAAGGCAAATTCTCCCAATACTTGACCCCGGAGTTCTCTTGTCTTCTGGATTGGGTTCAAAATTACAAGACTACAGAGTGGAACATTAGTAGTCGGAAACCCAAAAATTGGGTTGGCTGTTCAAGGATAGTTATAAAATTAAAATAACATATTTTTAAAAAAATAATAATAATTAAAGTTAATGGAGATCTAACTTTCTTGATGACCTTTGCTTGTGCACGTCCAACCAAGAAACAAATCATAAATCCAACCAGTCACAAATAATGAAGAAAATCAAGGTTAAATTTTTTTTTTTTAAATTTGCATGAAGGTAACTCTCCAAGATGTGAGGAAAATTCCCATAAAGAGGGTCACCACCATGGTCCAGGAATCGGGATCCGCCAGACTCTCAAAAAACAGTCCTCCCTCTTTGGCACTCCAAACATCTCCAACCTTGCTGGCTCCTCTACTGAGCGTGAAGCTGCTAGGATTGAGGCATTCAACAAACTGTTAAATAGTCAAAACACTGATTTGAGTAAGTCTTATTATTTTTCTATAAGAGTTTTGAATAAGACAAGGAAAGTTTTCTCCTTTCTTTTTCAAGGAAATAATTAAACATCTTTCTAAATATTTAATTACAGTTTATTTTTAAAAATTATTTAAGTAGTAATATTTTATTTTTCAAGCATCTATGACTTGATGACTATATTGTTAGAAATTTAATATTATCTTTTTAAGAAAGCTCTATTAAAGATTGCTTTGCATTCTAACATTTCTCTAAATAGCAACATTACCAATGCTATTTTAAGACTCTGAGGAAGAAGTTTTACCTCGTTTTTTCCTTAAATTTGAATTTCTTTATGTTAATATTTCAAAACATTTGTCTTTAAAATTGACATAAGACTAGAATTTTGTAAAAAATAGGTTATAAATAATTTTAAAAATATAAATTATACACATTTAGTTCACATTCTATTATTTAATTTGTTTTCTATATATTTTGCCTAATTGCATTTGTCTAAATATAAATCGTCAATTTTATGTTTTAAATTAATATTATTTTAAATGAGTATGTTAAAAAAGTGCAACAATGTATAAGACTAAATTAAATTTTTGATTAATCTTTAAAACTAATTTAGGAACTTTAAGATTTATTTAAATTTAAGTTATTTATAATGCTGATTTTATGGTCCTTAATATTTTATTAAATAGAAATTTAAAAATTATGAAAAAAAATTCTAAATTTTTTTTTTAAGAATCTAGTAAACCTGAAAGTATCAAGGAAGCTGTGTTGGTTTGTGTATTTTAATCCTAGGGTGTAACGATAAATTAACTGTTATTTTTATGTGCTTTTTTAATTGTATCTAATATTTTATTTTTTCAGAGGAGCTAAGGAAATTAAGTTGGTCTGGTATACCGGCTACAGTGCGACCAGTCACCTGGAAACTTTTGGCAGTATGTATTACTTCACCTGAAATTTTCACCCTTGTTTTTTATTTTTTTAAATGTATGCCATACAGATTTTATGAATTTTTTTTTCAATTAAATTGAACTTTTTGTATTCTTACTGAAGCTAGTTATTACCGTTTTTTTTTTTTTTTTTAAAAAAAATCTCAAATGAGAAGAGAAAAATAATGATTATTTCTTTCCTCTCTGATGCGCAAGAAGAACAGACAAGAAAGACAAAAAAATTCTGCAGAAAAAAAAATTTTTTTTGAAAAATTATGTAGCCAACATTTTTCCCTTTCCAGATTAAAAATCTTTCTGCAAAAATTCTGTAACGTTCTGCGACAGTGTCGCGGCGTCGACCCAATTCTGCCATGGGACTGAGGCACCTCAGGATGCTTTGGAAACCACTGCTATTCTGGAAAGGAAAAAAAATTTGATGAGTGAAGTTTAGGCTTTAAATTTGTCTCTCAATATAATTTTAAAAAATCATGCATCATATTTTGTTTTATAAAATTTATTGTATTTGTTTTCTTACTAAGACAAAATTCTTTTAATGCCTCGATGATCTAAAATGTGTAGGGTAGTAAGAGCTTTTTTAATCTAAAGATTGTTGTTCTTTATTTGCTTTTTTTTCTAATATTTTTTTAAATCTTTCCAAATGGCAGTGGAGCAATTATTTCTTTGGATATCCAGGGAAATTATTATAAGCTTAAACTATACAAACATGCCTTCAGTATTTCTTTTGGAATGTTTTTATCAATTATACTTCTTAAAATTTATAATTAAAGTAAGTTATTTTTAAGATAAACATTTCAATGTATAAAATAAATGAAAATAGTTGAGAAAAAAATATAAAAGTGTTTTTTAAATCTGCGTGATGAATCTCAAAACAAATTTATGCTTGTTCAACTACATAAATGTGTTACCGAAGCAAAAATGTTTTTATTCTTTTACTATTTTAATATGTTTTTGTAACATTAATGATAGGGCTATTTACCAACATGCTTTGAGAGACGCAAGCCCTTTCTTGAAAGAAGAAAAGCAGATTATTTGGCCTTTATAAGTCGGTATTATGACATGCGGGATGAGGAAGGTCATCACGAGACTTATAGGCAGGTTAGTCTTCTTTAATTCATTCAACATTCTTAATAGAGTTTTTTTTTAACGTTTTTTACATTGAAACTATGTAGAAATGGCCAAAAAAGTGATAATTATAGAAAAACATTTGGAAAATGTGGTGAATATATCTGGAATTCTATATTTGTTTGTCTCTCAAATCATTGGAATTTCAAAAATTAGATGATGAGATCATTCCAAACTGATGGTTAAAAGTACATTTTAAATTTGTGTGCCATAATAACATCATATTAAAAGCATCAACATTTTAAAAGCTATGTAGAAATGGCCAAAAAAGTGATAATTATAGAAAAACATTTAAAAAATGGGGTGAATGTATCGTAAACCGTTGCGAACCAAGCTTGTCAAATAATTTTAACTCAAATTTAAATTTGCATGTAATTTTGAAGAAAAAAAATATGGAAATTGTTGTGAAAACAGTATCTAAACAGCGGCAAAACAATCAGCAAGCTCAAATGCAAAATTTGTTTGTTGTAATGACATTGAAATTTAAAAAACTTTTTGGAGATGGTCGTAAAATTACGTTTATTTATGGCGGAATCGTTGCGAATATAGTGTGTCAGAAAATAGTAAATCAAATTCTGTGTCATAATAACATTGTATTAAGAGCTTCAAACTTTAAAAATCAATAGATAGCTTTCTGAAAAATGATTGGAAATCGACAGAAATTTAAGATGAAATCATGGCAACTCAAGCACATCAAAAGTGATGACTTGAATTGGAAAATTTTATAAAGTATTTTGATACAAGTGTTATAAATTAATGACACTAAATAATGTTTAAGTATGATATTTTCATGTGTACTCACAAATTTAGGGAAACTCGTTTTTACATACATTAGTAGTACAGTGCCCGCCGCTAATGAAATCACCGGATAATAAGATCAGCCGCTTTATAAAATGAAATCGGCAAAAACCGAATAGTTACTATATTAATACATGTTAAAAACATCCTTTAATAAAATCAATGCCGCCGCTTTTTAAAATCAAAATTTTGACTACTTAATAAATCAAAGGTGCAATATTTCAGCTTTTTTTGTTCTTATTTATAAAATTTTATTTTTTCGAAGTTTAAAGATTTTTTTAGAAGAAGCAACAGTTACTCACAAACCTGTGAAACAGGTGTGGTTAGCACTTTCCTGCGATATACATAGTGTAAGAGTTAAGGAAAAATGTGGGTGGTAAGCGGCGAGTTCATAGAAATCAATTTATCAATGTTAATTCCTTGACTTGAATGAAGTTTGGAGAAACCTATCTCACTCAACAGGGGGTCGAATTCTTATCTTACTTTTTATTGAATGAACCATAGAAGGGAGAGAAGTTTCTTTTGTTATCTATCTTAACAGAAAACATGAATAGATTTCCAAAAACTGTCTGTGCTCATGTTCCATATTATTCAAGCCATTTGAGTAAATTATAGTTAGAGTTAGAGCACATATAATTTTTAAGTTCGTTTGGTGTTAAATTTTATCAGCATGCCGAAAAGGAAGGGTTTGAGTCTTAAAGATAAATTCGAAGTGTTGCAAAACTATGATAAGCTTCCTAAATGTTGTCAACGTGAAGCTTCGATGGAGATGGGGCTCATAATTGTTTCGAAGAAATGATCAGCAAGGAAGAAAATGAAATGGACGAGAATTTTTCACGTTACGTAGCTATTGACAATAACCTGCAAACATCAGGAGAAAAATCTGATTCTGAAATTGTTACAGACATCAAAAATTGCGAAGTTATTTCCCATCAAGAAATGGAAGAATCAGACTCAGAAGATGAAATAAACTCATCGGTGCCATCTTCAATGGAAGTCAGAAAAGCACTTAATGTATTGCGGCAAGCTTTAGAACAAAGAGGAGGAATATCGAAAACTGTAAAAACTTCTATAAACTCTCAAATGATGTTGAAACGTTAACTTTAAATACTGCAACTCAAGCAACCATTGATCGGTTTCTTGCAAAACTTTTGTAAATTTAATCTTATGTAGGGTTTTACTTTATTAAAATAATTAAGTTAGTTAAAATAAAGCATTAATGTGGTCACTATTTCAGCTTTTAAAGTGTGTGCATTTAGAATATATCATAAAAATTTATTTATTTTTTTTCAAATATTGAATCGCCTCTTAATAAAATCAGCCGCTTAATAAAATCAAAAGAGCATAAAACGAAAGTGATTTTAATAAACGGCGGGCACTGTATATCAATTTGATATTAATTTTTTATTTGTATGTTGTATGAAATGTAAAATAATTAATTAGCATATTCAAAATCTTCAGCTATTCTTTTTTATCATGTAATTTTTATTGTCGGAAAGTTAATGTTTTTTAAATATTTATTGATAATATTAGGTAATGGATGGAAAATTTCATGATTATACTTCATAATAACTTAATTATTTTAATTTAGAACATAAGTATTATTTAAACATTTGTTTTAAATAAACTAATAATAACCAAATTTAAACCACCAAAAAAACCTGGTTTGAACCAGAAAAACAATGTTATTCCTTTTTTTTAAAGAGAAATAAGCATTTTTTTTAAGCTTTACTGAAAGGACTATTTTTGTTCATGAACTTAGGGTTTTTTTCCAAAATACCAATTTTTTAAAAGTTATTGCAGTTTTTTATTGCTTTCAAGCAATAAATTTATTATTTTTTTTGGCTTTTCGAACTCTAGCGATAGATTATGTCAGCGGTTCCCAAATGGTGTTTCATGAAGTTATAAAATCCCGTGGTAGCGTTAAAGGGGTTTTAATAGTTAAAAAATTTTTCAACAGGCTTTTTTTTAGCATTTGTGGAATCTGAAATTATATTTAGATATAATTAACAATCCATAATTTATTTAATATTTTAATTGCCTTAATGAATTTATATTTAAAGTAACAGAATTTATAGAGTAAGAGAATTTTCATTTCTTAAAATAAGAGAAATGAAATATGTATAATTTTTTAACTACAATTATTAAAAATTTATAAAAAAAAAAAAGGGCATTCATTTCTAAAAAAAATACTATACTGTTTAACATTGCGCTTTTCAAATTAAAAAAAAAAAGAATCTTTAATGAAGAAATAAGTTTTTATCTGGAGTAGATTCATCTGTGAATTCAACTGTCAAACATAAAATTAAATGAAAGATTTTTTAATGATCGAACAATAAAAAAATTTCATTCATCTGATTAAATATAAAAAGTCTAAAAGTTAAAATGAAGTAGTCTTTTAATGATTAATATTCTCAGCTGTCTTTATTTGCTTGAATTATGACGTTAGGATTCCACTGGAAGAAGCTTGAGTTCTATAACCAGAAAAAATTGGAAATCGCTGGCTTAAGTGATAAAATTTCGTGTGAAGTACTGAGCTGCCAGAGGGAAAATATCGGATCCAGCTGGCACCTCAATGTAGAGGAGGAAAGAGAGGGGGGAAAGTTATATATTTTATAATAAAAAAAATTCTTTTTGTTTTAATTTGTGATTATTTATTCATTGAAGAAAGTTTTATTTCTTTCTTGATTTCTTTTTGTAAGCTGGATGTCAAAAAGTAACAGAGAAAAAAGAAGAAAAAAGGTTAAATAAAATAAAAAATTAAAGAGTAAATAATTAGATGTTGCAAGTTTTAAATCTTATTACTTATCTCAAAATTTTAAAATATAAAATACTCAACAGAGATAGAAGCAGATTCCAATTTGAACTTTTATATCTCATATTATTATAAATTGTTAACAATTATTTATCATTTATTGTTTGTTTTTTTAAAGCATTTGAGTTTCCAGGTAATTGTTCAACTCATTGTGATTAATTCCTACATTTAATTATAATAATTATGTATTTATAAACAAAATGATTTTTTCTGAAAAATATTGACTTTTAAGAAAGGGTAAAAATCGATGAATAAAGAGGTTGGTGAGCAGAGTGTTCTAGGTAAATAAAAATGATCTTTTAATGCAGTTCCAATGTGATTCTGATCAGAGCTACAAATATCCTGCTTTCTTTGTTAATCCTAAGCTTATCTTCTGACATGTGAAGGGGTGGTCTAAGATGGCAGTTCCAATATCCTTAAATAAGTGCATGCCAATTTTAAACAGATCCATAACATATTTATATAAACAAACTGGATAAAAAAAATTTGATTAAATTTTTTAAAAACATATGGTTAGCAATAAGATGTTAAAATACATAATTGGGAGAAAAGGTTTTAAAAGAAACTCTCTCATTGATAAATCATTACAAAGGATTCGATAGTCTTAGCAGCTATGACCGATTTCCTTGATGATTTTCATTATTACACCTGTTCAATAAAAATAATAAATTGGTATCAAAAAATGGTTTGACATTAAAGCATGTTATGGTAAGTAAGTGAAGAGTTTAGTGTAACTGAGCTGTATTGCATTCATTCACCTAAAAATGCAAATCCTTGTTTTCCTAAATACTGCTTGATACAGTGTTTTGTTTTATAGATCCACATAGACGTGCCCAGAATGAGTCCGCTAGTTCCGTTGTTTCAACAAGACATTGTACAGAAAGTGAGAATCTTGTTGTTTTTTTTTTATGGTACTTGAACTGTGACATATTATTATTACATTAATGTGTGTGTGTATAGGCATTTGAAAGGATACTCTACATCCTGGCTATTCGTCATCCTGCCAGTGGCTATGTTCAAGGAATGAATGATCTGGTGACACCCTTTTTTGTTGTATTCTTGCAAGACTACATACCTACTGGTGAGTTTACAACACTCTTTCATTTTAATACTGTTTTCCAATCGCAAATGCTTTTATATAAAATTGCTCCACTCCTAATTCAATTTATTCTATTTCTCCATAATACATTTTTCTCATTTAATTGTTTTCAAAAGTGAAAAAAGCTGTATATAAAAAATAAAATAAAAACTTTTTTCTAACAATTCCAGGTAGAGTAAATTTAACTGTTCCGCTTGAAACTGCTATTCCAAATAACCCCATATCAAGCAGTTATAAAAATACTCTTAAAATTCCTGAATATTGCTATTTCAACATATCGGTAATTAAAGCAAAAAACAATGTGCCTAAAGCTCAAATCAAATACAGAAATGAACATATTATAATGACATTAGAAAAGCAAAAAGATGTACAAAGTGGTTCTACCCAATTGAAACAGAGGATCAACTTTGTAATAAAAAGAAGGAAGATAAGAGGAGGCAAAGGAATAAATTAAAAGATGTTTCCATACATTGGGAAAAAGTGCAATATTATAATAATCATTAACTAAATTCGAAATATGGAATGATTCCCAAAAATTAAGTCCGGTAGATTAGTGCTACAAAACTCAAACCTATGATTGAAATTCAAAATATGTAGGGGATTGCTTAATATCCTGATTTTTGACATATCATTCATGCTTAAGTCCAATATATCATAGATCATACACACATAAAATGTGATAAATGCTGCTGCTATTAATATCAGTTATAGGTTGGTGAAATTTAATTTAATTAAAAGGAGAAAAATGACTCAAATTTATTCAAAATCTTATCGGTCTGATTTTCAGATAAACAATTAATTGTTAAATGAAAGGGAAAATACAAGCAAGAAATTCACTGTCAGCAGCAATAGCTTTAATGTAAATGAGCTCTTCATAGAGAAGATAATTATTAGAACAAATTTTAGAAACACTGTAAACATCCTAAAGCTGCTGTCTTTTTGGTTAGGGGGATGGAATGAAAGATTATGAGGAGGGAGTGAAACCACAAACAGCTTCTGATAAATAGTAATGAGAAATTCATCACATTTCTGAGAATATCTAAGAATAATAAACATTCGACTGTTCAAATATGAATTGAATACAAGGATCTATAGAATTCATAATATTGAGTTATCTATTTATGAAGGAGTTTCATTTCAAAATAGTGCATATACAGGCCACTTAAAAGCTGAGAGGGTTACCTTTTGCTTTGCCACCAATCATTTAATGAAATTTATCATTAAAAGTGAAACTAGATTTCTAGCTCAACTTGACTAAAGTGGAAATGTTGTTATAAGTCAATTTATGGCATCCTTAAGGGGAACAGTTTTTAGATTGAAAGAGATCATCATGTTTTCACTAGGATTAAATGCTCATTAAATTAACAAATTTATATGAGTTTTAAACTGCAAAATTATTCATTCTAAGAAGTGCAGATAAAATTTGAAACAAGATGCTTGGCTAATTTATAAGAAGTGGTGCGGATATTAGAAACAATGTGTTTTGTCTCATGAACTTTAGATAAAGCATAAAATGTAGCACAGTGTAGGTGTAAGAGAGCATGCATTTTAAATGATTATTAAAACACTTCGTTTTTATTGTAGTGCATTAATACTAGGATCTTACTTTATATGGGTCTTCCTCGTTTAATTTTTGAAATTCCTCTAGATATTTAACTTAGTTTAAAACTACAATTAGATCCCCCTTATCTACTTTCGTAATAATATCATCTGGGTTATTCTTCAATCCAGGCTGGTTTAGATTGATCTTTTGCCCCCTCACACCTATTTTATATCTCAGTGTTTTCATCATAGAAAAAAAATGGGTGAGAATTTCTCACCCTTTCTCAAACAGGGTGAGATTTCAAGAAGTTAAGTAAGATTTCTAAAAACTAAAAAAGCACAAAAACTCTTGAAAAAAAATCATTTCTTTAATTATAATACATTTTTAACGTTTTCTATTTTTTAAAGCATTGAATATTTTTGGTGCATCAGCATAGAAGATTTTGCCTTTAAAAGATATTTGTCCATCCTACATAAGTGCATAAAAAATTTGAACGTCTCACATGAAGAAACCTTACCTACGGTAAACACGTGGTTGCAGAGAAATGTGTTCTGAAAGGGGTTCCGTGGTTGTGTTCTGTTGTTCGAAAAGGTTCTGAACAATACTGGTAAATAGGGAAGCTAGATAACGGGGCAGATGTTGAAAATAATGAAGATCCAAGAAGAAANTTTGTAAAGACATTACTGTATCTCCTTCCCCCCTTTTTTTTCTTTGCTAGTTGTTATGCATGTGTGTCTAATGTCATTTGGTGTTTAGACTCTGAGGAAGTCTAGACTCTAAAGATCTGGAAAATATGTTTTCTAATAACTAACAAGAGTTGGAGTAAATCTATGATTCAATACTACATCTGAAAGAGTTTTCAACTTGGTGAGAAAATAAACTGATCTAAGAAGTGAAACTTTCCCTATAGAAAAGGACATGAAAAACAAATCTTAAATGTTGCTAATGAAAATTTTTTAGAGGATCAAATAAAGATGCAGATAAAGGCGAGTTTAAATTTATCCTAAAAACTTAAACATTGATTCCAAGAAGTCAATTTAATTTTATCGTGAATAGGGCAGGGAGATGTAAGAAACCTTATGTCGTCTTTTAAATATCATCGCAATATAACATAAATTCAATTTTTTTTATTAATATCAAAATTATGCAATTAGAAATCTTAAATCAATCAAAAATAGATAAAAAGGAATAAATCAGTAACAAAAGAAAATGCTACTTCTAAAAAAATGCTTCTATAACATAAAAAGTTTTGCTTAGTTTTTATGTAAACAAAAAAACATTAAAATAACAAACAAAATATTTATAAAATAAAAATAATAACTTATAGATTGAGAAATTCTTAAAAACTTTAGAGAAAATTGCTAGCAAAACTAACAAAATACTCTTAAGTATCAAGTGTTTTTATAATTAAGAAAAAAAAAACATTGCTTTTAAAAAATTAAGATAAAAATATAAACGATTAAAAATAAATGTAGGCTTTGTTTTAATTTTTCATAATTAAAAACAACTGAAGATTTATTGGTGTAAAAATGATCAAGTTCTGCCAAAATAAAATGCACAGCAATCACAAAAAAGCATAAGTCCTGCTGACAATAATCTAGAAGAATTGTAAAATCCCAGGTGAGGGAGGAAATGATAAATAAAAAAGTGAAGCATTACGTCTATGTTTTTAAGGCTGATCCTTGCTCGAAAATGTGATTTCAGATTCAATTTGCTCCTTGCGATTCAACATCACTAAATAAATATTGTTTTTGTAGCAGGACATAATCAACATCTTCTCAGCCAGACGAAATCAAAATCGCCTTCATCAGCACGGTAACAGCGTTCGTGTAGACAAGTATGTTATGTCGTTAAATCGCAAGTATCTTATATCGGTGGCTTAAATCTGAATTTGGGTGCTTCGCACGAGACGAAAGTCATTACATCGACTTGACGATGTATGCTTTTAAGTCGATAATTCACGATATATTTATTTATTGCTCAGCCCTAATTATGAAGTATAATATTCTAATTGCTTTTATTTTTTCACCTTTCTCTAAGTGTAACTTTTATTTTTTTTCTTTGTAAAACTTTTGTTAAATTTTATTAATATTGTATATACCTATATTAGTAATATATGTACCTTAAAAGTGTGCTCATTTGAATTGCATACTATGTTAACTGTTGTGTTGTACTGATAAGCTATAGTTAGACTCCTCTGAAAAAGCGATCTAAGTTCAGATTGATGAAATGTAACAATGTGTGAACTGTTGTATTGCAAAAACATCTTTTGATAAAAATAAATTTCCCTCTAGGTGCTGATGTCGAATGTTACGATGTGAGCACCCTGGATGAGGATTATCTTCAGCAGGTTGAAACAGACAGTTACTGGTGCATGGCAAAGCTTCTCGATGGAATACAAGATAACTATACTTTCGCCCAACCAGGCATTCAGAAGAAAGTTCACCTCTTGAAGGAGCTCATACAAAGGATTGATGGTAGATCTTCATTCACTTATTTGTTTATTTTATTTATTCCTAAAATGGCAACTTATTTAATCAGCAAAAAAATTTTCATATTTCATAGTTGTAGGAATTATTTTTTTTAAAAATTCATAACTTTTGTTTTTGCGGTTGTCGGAATCTTGAAATAAAATGCTATTTTGTTAATTAAAGAAGAAAAAGATTTTTTTTAAAAAATTCTTATCTTAGTTTTACTTAAAGCAGCATTTTGAAAATATTAAATTTTCTGCAAAATTGAATTTTATGAGACAAGATAAACTCAAATTGTAATACACAGGTTATCCCTTTAACTGGCTATGTAGTAGTTTCTAATATTGAAATTATTTTTAAAAGAATCAATGAATTCCCTTCAGTACATCTTTGTATTTTTTAAAATAAGAAATCATACAATGGCAACTATTTTATTAAAATAACAGCATTGTGGACATAATGTTGAAGGTTTTAAAATGTGAAATGTTTATTAGGATTTTACAATAAATTTTTAATATTTTGTGTGTATTATGCAAATTGAAAAAAGTAAATGTTGTTTTTTGAATGGATAGAAAAATTGGCACAACCAGCATAAAAATCTTTTAACTTGTTAAAAGAGAAAAAAAGAATGCCTTTACTGTTTTCTATTAATAAATACAAGCATGTCAGTGGTTATTTAAAAACTTTTTAATTAGATGCCTTTAAGAAGTTAATTAAAACCTATTTAAATAAATATATAAAAGTCTTCACATAGTAAATATATATATTACTAAAAACCTAAATTCTAATTTTAAATTTATTTTCATGAAGATTTCAGCAAAAATTGAATAAAAAAAAGACTACATAGCCAATAAAAAAAAATTTCAATTGTAAAGTATTTTAATGCGTTATAACCTCTTTATGAAATTTGTTCAAAAAACATATACATCATAAAATATTTTCCTTGAACTTCATGTTTACATGTTGAAAAGTTTAATTTTGTATGTCAAATAATTGTAATGATTTTAGTTAATAAATTATAGATATAGAGCTACGAGTATTCTGCTTTTTATTATAATTTTTTTTACAATTATAACAAGTAAAGGTGCCTTCTCTCCATATTTTGATGCTTCTTTGCTTTTTTAAGTGAATAGGCCAAACTGATACATTTTTGTTCTTATAATTATAAATGTTATTTTTCAAATTTTTTTTAAATCTTAATATCGATTGGATGTCTCTTCCATTCCATGTTTTGTTTCTGCCACTGACTGAATACTATTAAATCTTTTGTCTTGATTGTATTTAATAATTGATTCAATAAATTAAAGTCTTTTTTTTTTACTAGCATAATACAAATGTAAATAGAATAGCAAAATTAATTTGATCAGCATATTGCCAAAGTAGTTGCTATACATTCTTCATTTCTGCCAGTATATCATGTTAGTGATTATTTATAATTGTATTAATTTTAACTTTTGTTTTGTAAAGACATTGACGATAATTTTAAATATTTAAGTTGTTAGAGTTTCATAATACAATATGCCACACAAGTTCTGATATTGCAATTTTATTGATCTAGCACTTAATTATATGCAGCTCATTTTGAATAATTACTATTTATTTAAATGAAAATTTATAGTTTTTTTTCCTTCCTTTTCCCATAGCTCCCCTTCACACCCACCTGAAGAAGCATTCCATTGAGTACCTGCAGTTTTCGTTCCGGTGGATGAATAACCTTCTCATGAGAGAACTACCTCTCGCATGCACCATACGCCTCTGGGATACATATCTGGTAATCTCTAAACTTTTGAAAAAATATTTGCATATTGACTGTTACTGGATGATCAGGCACCATTTCATAAAATACACCGAACAAATTCAGTCAATCCAATCGTAATAGAATGAAATTCAGGGGTCTGTCCAGAAATTTTGTGAAAGGTCCGTTTTTGTAAAATTGTGAAAAATTGCTCGTCATTTGTGAATATAAAATAAATGTTCAGTCACATTCTTTCAACCAGGGTCCGCTTTTGTGAATTTGTGCAAATAGGGTCCGTTGTTGCAAAAAAACTTCTTCAAAGAGTTTTTAAATTGTAAAGACATACAAGATTATGCTCAACACTGAAAAATTATAATTCAAAAAATTAAATTTTAAAAAATAAACAGCAATTGCTGCTACTATTTTAGAGATGCAACATGCAAATATTTGGTATTTAGCCTATACTACTGAATGCAGAATATTCATTACGAACGAATAAAGGAAGGAGCTTCTGCCGAAGACAAAACTTAGTTCGTTTGCATTTGTCTTTCTTTTCCCCCCCTTCCTGGGAAGGATTTATTCGATTAACAAAACAATAATGAAGATAAACAAATTTGTGAAGGGTTCCATTGAAAGATAAATTATTTTGTGAAGGGTCCGTTTTTAAGTTAAAATATTTTGTTAAGGGTCCGTTTTTATAAAAAGATATCTTGTGAAGGGTCCGTTAACGCACTCAAATTTCTTCTAAACAGACCCCTGGAATTATTAAAGTATGTTTTCTGAAACTTTGACTAACGCCTAAAGACATTCCTGCTTCGTCTGCTATTTTTTCTTCTTAATCCCATATATAAAAAATTGTGGAGAAATTTCTATAAATTTGCATACAATTGAGGAAACATTTGGAGCAAATTCTGTACAGCACTTCCACTGGTTTAAATAGAAATTAGGAAAATTAATAAACTATACACATAGCTGCCAACTCTTCCGGTTTACCCGGAAGATTTCCTGTTTTTAAAAAATTCTTCCATCTTCCGTTTTTTAATTAATATCTTCCGATTTTTCCACTCTTTGCTTTATAGCGAAAATCTGATACAACAGTGCTACAATTTCAAAATACGTCAGCGCGCTTGAAGAACTAATCCAATTCCCCTGGATCACGTGATCAACGTGTAAGCGGGAACGTAACCTCAGTGAAGAATAGGGAGAAAACTAATTACTCGCAGCCGCAAAATATTTTAGTAAATATTCTAATCTAATGGCATTCGAGTGGATTGTTATGTTTTCATTTGAAGCAGTTTTCTAGGTCTTTCGTACTCTTAATAATGTCGAAAAAAACTTATTACTATCAAAATTTTAAAGACAGTTATTCAAAAGAGTTTGATTTTATTCAGAAGTCGGTAAAAGGGAATGATTTTGCTTTTTGTATTCCATGTCGAACTGATTTCCACATTGCGCACGGTGGACATAGCGATATAGTTTTCCATGTGGGCACATCAAAGCATGTGAGAAATTTTTCAGCCATTGAAAATAACAAAAAGGATCTTTTTGTGACGAATGATAATGATGAAGCAGTGATTAGGGCTGAAAGTTTGTTTACTGCCTTTATAATTGAGCATAATTTGCCAATTAGTTGTGCCGATCATGCTGGACAGTTGTTCAGAAAAATGTTTCCAGACTCGAAAATTGCGAAAAATTATGCATGAGGAAGGACAAAAACATGGGCAATTGTGCGTAAAATTGCATCAAAAAAAAGAAGAAAAGTAATAGAAGCACTTAAAATTAGCCCTTTTACAATTTCTGTAGATGTTAGCAATGATAATGATTCAAAATTATATCCAATTGTTGTTAATTTTTATAATTATCAAGTTAACTCTTCTGAGGCTAAAGTTGAGTGCATTTTGTTGTCTCTACCAGTCTTAATAGGAGACTACTGCTGTAAATATTGGGAATTTAATTTTAAGCAATTTTAGATCACTTCAAATACCGATTGGAAATTGCATCGCCTTAAGTTCTGACAATGCACCTGTGATGGTAGGGCAAAAGGCAGGTGTAATATTGGTATTGCAAAAAGCAAATGAAAATATTGCACTGCTAGGTTGTTGTTGCCATTTGGGGAACTTAACAGCAGAGAAAGGCTCTGTGATGCTTCCTTTTCAGATTGATGAACTTCTCATTGATGTATATTACTATCTTGAGAAAAGCTCTAAAAGAAAAGAGCGACTCAGGGAATTTCAGAAGTTGCATGACACTAAAGGTAATAAAAAATTCTGAAGTCCAAGGTCAGTGATTCATCCTTATCTAACTATAAAATTCCCAAAAAATGTCAGATTGATAGTGCCAAGTGTGTTAATTCTTCAAGAAGTATCTCTCCTGAGTCTTCAAGTAAAAAGCGGAAAGTAGATTAAGTATATGATTTTTAGAAAGGATCTTCCAGCATCCTTTCTCGAGAAGAGAGACTTCTTTATTTTCTCTCTAACGATTTAAATAAAGCTTATTGCTTATTTCTTTTCAATGTTGTCAATTTGTTTGATACACTTAATACCTTTCTGCAATCCAACTCACCTCAAATTCATGTCCTTAGGTCAGTCCTCTTGAGTTTTCTGAAGGATATTCTTGTAAGATTTGTCAAACCTGCTGTTATGCAGGATTGCCAATCTTATTTGGATATCAATTACAATATGCCCTCAAATCAAAAAAATTATCCTGACTTGATTGTAGGGAATTCAGCTTCTGAAATAGTGGGAACACTTCCAGATTGTGATAAAAAGAATTTTTTTAAAGTTGTCAGAAAATATTTCTGCACAATATGTGACTACATGCGTCTAAAATTTCCCTTTCAAAGTGAAATTTTGTTTCATGCAGCCATAGCTGATATTAGAAACATTCAAAATGCTTCATTCACTAGCATAAAGTTTTTCATAGAAAGATATCCTATTATGTTGCAAGTAGCTGATGGGGAAAAACATTTGATAATTGACAAACTGCAGCAGGAGTTTTGTGAAATTCAAATTGGAAAAAAAATAATAGAATCAGTTGAGGAGAAAATGGATAAGTACTGGGCAAGAATAGGAGAAATAAAAAGGGCAACTGGTCAACAAAAATATGAAACACTATCCAAATTCATGTTGTCTGTACTATCTCTCACTCATTCAAATGCTGAAAGTGAATGTGCTTTCAGCCAGGTGAAGAAGACCAGAACTCAATTTTGGTCATCACTTAGTGATGATATGCTTGAAAAAATTATTCAAGCAGATTATTTTTGTAAAGATCAAAAATGTTATAAAATTTCATTTGATGACAAATTTTTAAAAAAGGCAAAAGCATGCACTTATCAATCTTTGAAAAAATAATTATAATACGTGAAAATAATTTATATCAATTTTTTGCTTATCTGTAATTCTATCTATCTCTTATTATAACAAAGTTTTTTTATTTCATTGATTGTAATTTACTTCAAATGTTATTAAATGTTTGTTAAGTTGTTAAAAATTTATTTACCCTGTTTAATTAAATATACAAATTATTTGAGTTATTCTTTTAATTGACCAGTTTCTTTACATTAATGACTTTCTCTCAAGGACCGTGAGTAGACTTGAAATCTTCCTTTTTTTAAAAATCCAATGTTGGCAGCTATGCTATACGTATAATGACCTGAGTCCTATTGCAATATATTGAATACAAAATTGATCTAAATGCATGCTAATGATGTGTTTTAGTTGTTTCTACAACCCAAATTTGTGTTAAGAGATCAAATGTTGTATTCTGGTTTTAAAATCCAAGAAAATCTGTTCTTTGGTTCAATTACAATGAAGAAAATGTAATATATTTTGTTAATCAATTATATACCAGTAGTAAAATAAAATTTCAAAACATATTTAAGAAAATTTTAATTTTTCTTCTTAAATTCAGTTTAGTTTATTTAAAATTAATATGAACTATATATACCTAAGCTTGAATATTTTTATTCTTTAAAACATTATATTTTCTGCGTAAGATTTTTTTTTTCTCCTCAAAAATGTCACATTATTCTTTTACTATTCAACTTTATGTAATTTTGTATGGCAATACAAATTTGTCACTATATCTTTTATAAAAATCATCATTTTAAATAATTTTAGGATCTTTCATCACTGTAATACTATTTTATCTTTTGCAGTCTGAAGCAAATGGTTTTAGCAATTTCCATCTTTATGTGTGTGCAGCATTTCTCATGTACTGGTCACGAGAGTTACTTCAAGAAAAAGATTTCCAGGTCTGTCTTTTTCTTTCATAAAGCATGTTTTTATTTATTTTTGCCACGATTCTTTCTTTTTTTTGCTTAGATTTTGCTTCAGTTCTTGATTTTAATTTTCGTTCAGGTGATAACAAACATTGAAGCTCACAAAAACATGACCACATGTGTTAAAAACCTAAAATTTGTATTAATTCTTAATTTAAATGATTTTAGTTCTTGTCTGAGCTGATAAAAAGGTAACCTTTTCTGAGTCAGAAAATTTAGGTTGAAAACTTTCTTTTTTACGATAGCAACCATAGACATTGCATTTTAAGAAATACAATATGTTAGTTACAAAAAGGTGATTGTTTGAAAAAAGGTAGGTGTTGCTAATATAATTTTAGTCATTTATAGTAATCTGGGAATAATTGTTAGACACTACATCAGAAAAAATTAAAGAAAATAGCTTGATTTTCTGCTAAAATAAAGTGTCTATTTGATCACTTTTTATATGACTTAAATAAAAATTTATCTTAGTTAACCTTGGCACCTATTTTGGTAGTCGTCAAAGACTCTCCACTTCATGGTCTGACATTGTAACAATTAATAATAAACTTCAAGTGCATCTATATTAGATTCTAAACTTGATTCAAATCAGGTTAAGACATTAATGTAATAGTGAAAAAGAAATGTTTATAATTAAATTAAGCGTTTATAATAAAGTTTTAATTTTTCCTACCTTCATGATTAGAGTTTATCAATGTTTAGTAGAATCGGATTGCTTTACATAGAACTCTTACACCTCGCCAATAATATAAGATTAATGTATTTAAAGATAAATTACCTTTTGAACGTCACATAAAGGAGGAAATTTGAAAAAAGTTTTGGGGTATTTTTTTCACAAGTTTAGTTTGAAAGAAACATGAAAAGTGTAAAATAGGTTTAATTATTTATTTGTTATTTCATATCTAGTATTACTAAAATATTATTGTAAAAAAAAAAAATTTCCCTTGGAATCTGACATATTTTTGTAGTGTCTAAAAGTTTGTACTTTGTATACATCAGTTGTAACTGGTAATATAAATGCTAGCATCAGTATGATATTTATAATTGAGATAAATTTTCATAAAATAATTTCTACCTTGCTCTTACCTTTATTCAATAAATTTTAAATGATTATTCAAGACCATGCTTTGCGAAGCAATCCATGAAGAAAAAATAGGAATAGGGTTAGATGAATGAAATAAAGAAATGTACTGTCATAAATATTTGGCAATGAATTCATATAATCAAGCAAGAAACTTTTGAATAAAACATCTGAATAAGCCAATATATATACATTTGAACAATTTTTATTTTTTTGCAATATTTCGTTCATGTCTTGTATTTTGGCATGTTAAAATATGAAGCAAAACAAAATGTTATACCTTATTATCCAATTTTTTGTATTTATCATTATCAAATAAAATAATTTCAAATTATAAAAAGGTAAGATTTCTAATTGTATGCAAACAATACTTTCTTTTAATTTGAGAAAACCAGGCATAAATGATAAGTAGATAAAAATGTAAATATAATATCTAATATTTTGATTGCTCTTCTGAAATTGCTTAGGATAGGATATTATTTTTTTCCGCCCTATCGAATTTAAACAAAAATACATTATATAAATAGTTTGCCAAGCATTTTTATATAAAATATGAATAAAATTTGAAAACTTTGACTTATTTTTAAAACTATGAAAAATTTATTTTACCCTGTACATGTTTATTATTATCCTTAATGTGGAGGGGGGAACCAAAAAAATTTTTACTTTCACTTAAAAATCGGGAACCGGCCCTGCTGGAAATGAAGGCTAATCATACTAGGACTGTAAAATAAAATTACAAAGGAAACTTATGTTGAAATATAACTGCGAGTGAAGTGACTTTAAACATGTTATTACATTACCCATCAACAGTGAATATTAGGAACGCAATCAGGTTTAACTACTTTTACATTGTGAGCCAATAAAGATAGTTAAGACTCCTTATATTTTGTAACCCTTCCTACCTCTTCATTTCATCATGCATTGTAGGTTACAACTAAGATATATTCTTGTAGTTAGAACAACTAGTTTTAAATACAAGCACCTAATTAATTTTTTGAAATCTTTATTTTGTGATAGTTATTTTATAATTCTTGATTTAGTTAGCACATTTGCAGGTGTTAAAATTTTCAGTGTTGGTTAGATTTCAGTTGTGTAATGTTTAATACTGTCCTTCAACACATAGTTGATTATTGACACAAGAAAAATGAGGCATTAAAATGCACCCATCCAAGGTAGCCACTTTACACAAATAGAAAAGTATCACATTTACTAAATGTGTTTCTCCTTTCATAACTTCAACCCCTCATCATTATGTAAAAGTTTTGGTATAATATAATAAAAAGATACTGCATTTTATATGGAGGTTTGTGTATGTTCTCGCTTTGATTCTGTCTTTTTATTATCAAGATTTGTTCTATTAACAGGGTCTCATGTTAACACTACAGAATCTTCCGACCCTCCATTGGGGTGACAATGAGATCAGCGTCCTCTTGGCAGAAGCCTACAGGCTGAAGTACATGTTTGACGACGCGCCTAACCACTTGCAACCACGTGACGACTGATCATATCATGCCCTGTGGAGAAAGGGGAGAGTTAATTTTGTTGTTGTTATTGAAGAGTTTTGCTACTTTATGTTTTTTCTGCGAATCTCTCATTTGTTTTTTTTTTATATATATATATACATATATAAACTGTTGGTGTTGTTTATGTAACCATTTTGTAACATGGAAAACAATACAAAAAAAAAGAAAAAAAATGTATAGAAATTTATATCAGTGCTGTCTTCACTCATGTTATACTTTTTTTCATATATAAAATAATATACATATTGTGATCATGTATAGATGTATATAAAAAAATTATTTAGATCCTTAAGAGTTTTATCTCTTTATTTTTCAGTCCACTGCGATACATTCATGAAATATTTTGGAAGATTTTTATTTTATTTTTTCACTCTAGTATTGCAATTTAGAGTACTAATAATGAAAATTATTATTAGTGAAAAATTAAAAGGTTGAATCAAAAATAAAATTGAAATAGTTAATTCTGGTAATTGTAAAGAGTTATAAAAAAAATTAAAAAAACTTGCTGTGAAATCCTGATAGTATATTTGAAATGTGATTATCTGATGTTGCATCATTAAAATTCAGTACCCTTTGAAAGTCTTTATTTTAGGTTTAAGGTGCTTAAGAGTCCTTATTTTTTCATCATCAGAAAAAATGTGAAAAAATATCTTTTTAAAAAAAAAAATCCCTTTAGTTAAGATAGTTATTAATCAAAGGGGTGATTGAATCACGAGCCAGGTGGGGACACTAAGGGAAAGTATACTAGCTCTTTGTGTTCCCGTTCACCTCCAGAATTAACTTCAGAAGATGAGGTAATCTTTTCAACTTGGAATTTGAAAAGTTGGTGTAGGCAGAAAGCCAGTGGAGAGAAAAGAGAGGAGTTTCCAACTAACCATTTTTACATTATTTTGTAGATTTCATGAGTGATTTTACATTTGGGAAAGTATTATTATTAATTTTGTTAAATTTTCAATTCAAGTTATTAGCTTGTTAGTTAATGTTTGTTACATTTAAGAATTTTATTTATTTTTTTTGTTTTTGCAGCAATTGTTCATTTTTCTTGTTATACACGTTATCTCATTTGTTACTACCAATGAAGCTTTATGGTAAAAATATTTTAAATTTTCTTTTTGTCTTTGATCTTAATTTATACAATAATATTTCTTGTTAATTCGATCATTTTTTACAAATTTAAATGGGTAAATGTGTCTTTCATGATTTGTATAAGGATTGGCTTGAATCGATTGAGGATATTTAAAAAAAGCAAACTCTTGTTGTAAAAATATTGACATCGCTCAAGTGGGAAAAGCAGCATTGAAAGTTCACATGAAGGGCATGTTTCACTAATTTAATTAATCATTTGAGATATTTATTTTGTTTTAAATATTCATCATAAAAAAATGTTTGCTACAAAAGCTCAAATAATATTTTAACTAAAAGGCATGATTTTTGGTCTTACCATCTAAAAAGGTTTGAGAAATAATAAGATTGGTTAAGTTTCAGTATAAAATATTAAAATTTAGAGGTAGCTCAAGCAGCTTGGATTTTAATGTATGTAAAGCAAGTGATTAATGATAACATGCCAGGGGTCTGTCCAGGCCGAATTTACTACCGTTTAGCGGTACCTTCACAAATTCAATTTTAGGAAAAACGGTAGTTTCACAAAATACTTTTTCTTAAAATTTTATTTTTTTGTCCTTAAGAAACGATAAATCTATATTTTTGTGCTGATTTTTTAATATAATTTTTCACAAATTATGTCTAAATTTTCACAAAATAGATACCTTTCATAAAAACCTAAACAGACCCCTGCATGCAAACCAAATTTTAATATTTTCTTACTCAATACTGTTATAAATGGTTTATCACCTTCATGGAACTGGCATCAAAAAAGAAAAAAGACCTTGTTTCCTGGCTCGTAACCCCCAAACATCTCTGGCACCAGAGCACCCGTCCAGGAGGTGCACTCAATATTCGGTGCAACCGCGAGGACCAGACTGCACTTACCAGTGGCCACCTTAAATCCCTTTCTTTCGAGGGTAGTATTAAAATCTACCTAAACTGCCCCAGGTGCCACAACATGCAGACTTCTCCCCAACATATCCTGGACTGTCTTGGTCTGGACAAAAGGGACATTCTTAATAACCCACTTTTGGGGGCCAACTTCCTCCGGGTCATGAATTTCATGGACATTGTTTAGCCCTGCTAATTTTGGGGATAAGGAAGAAGATAAATGGTTTAAACTTAATAAAAAGTAAGTATATTATATTTATTGAAAATCAATGGACATGGGGTCGTTTACCGCTGTCTGGATATACTCGTCCATGCTCTTCAACCACTTGCATAAGGAATCTTAAATTTAGACTCATCATTCGGTAATAATTGAGCTTCCGAATAAGCGCAATACTACGTTCAGTAAAATTATCTATATTTTTCATGGATTTCACAAATTTGGAAGCTTGATGAAAATATTTTCTAACTATCCATACAATTGGACCAACATTAAGGAATTCACATGGAAGTTCCCTTCTATTAAACAATATAGGTGATCTTTTAGTCACAAAATCTTCAAGCTTTCTTTGTAAGATTTAAGTGCAATAGTAGTTCGTTTTTGAGGATTATTTTGACTTCTTTCATAACCTTCAACATAAGTGGTTTCATAAAAACAGGCAAATATAGCTTATATTATAAGATCTGACATGTATCAAAGATGCTTTTATCAGTTTCTGAGATGAAGCTTTGGAAATGCTGGTATTTACAGGGTTGCCACAGGAGACTAAAATGCAACTATTTTCGGCATGAGGCAACTATGACAACTCTTTTTGCCTGAAAAAGGAGACTTTTCTGTACTCCTAGCGATGTTTTTTTTAAAGCATAAATTGGGTGGAAAATTTGCACCCCACAAGATAGTTTCTGAACTTTTTTTTTCTTAAAAAATTTTGAATTGCAAATTTGAGTCTACTTTTTAATTTGTTCAATCTGCACTATTTCATTTCTCGATCGCCTTTTAAATGATTATTGCTACGAAATTCTGCATGATTTTTTAAAAAAACAAAACAATTTTTAATACGATATTAGTGTAAATTTCGAATTTGCGAAATCACTTCTTGTCATATATATATTAACATTTACATAAAAATTATCATATTTGCCACTAACTTGACTGAATGGATCATAGTATGACAATGAGGTCATTAACGAAATTTTAGTCATATTTTTGTTCTTATTTAGACAACTATTTTCCTAGTTTTAGTCTACTAAAAGCAACTATTTTAATAATTTTTTTCTGTGGCAACCCTGTATTTATAGCTGATTAATCTAGATTTTAAGCAGCTCATTATAAGGTGCATTATATAACTACGAGTTGTCTAAGCCTTGACATATATTCGAGCTACAAATATGCTTATGTTCAGTAAGCCCTCTACCCTCTTATTTTATAGTGAGCTTGAATTTGGATTTAAACATCCATATTTTCATACTGCATTTAACTCTCGCTAACTTGTATCAATATCCAATACAACAATAACTCCCTTTATTATGTTTCGTGGTCCCGATGAACTTGCATATGAATTAATGTCATGCTCCTCTAAATATTACGATATTTTCTGATGCAACAAACCCCTGTAAATCGTCCCCCCCCCTCAAATTTTAACCTTATTTTCTCCATTTATTATTGGTTTTCAAATGTAAAAAATCTTATTTTATCCTTTTTTGAGAAGAGAAGACTCACTGCTGACCACCTCCAAAACTTGCATTCTTAAAATTGTCTCCTTTATCTCTTAAGAAGTCACAGATTCTTATCTGATTTCATTTCCTTCATGCTAAAAGCTGATTACGTGTCACAAATGACCACAACATAGCTTTCAACTTATTAAAAACAAAAATAGGAACACAAAGCACGATAAGCCAATCAGGGGAAATAATGACTGGCTTATCGTGCTTTGTGTTCCTATCAGGGGAAATAATGACAAAAAGTCAGTGTGCGGGTGGGTGACCACTTGGATCAGCCTGCGTAGGGACCGAGGGTGTGCGGTATGGGTCCTCGTTAAACTGTTCTACCGTAAAATGCTTGACTTCGCGTGCAGGTCGCCGGGCTACCGAAGCCGGGGGTGCCATCCCCTCTGCAGAGGATCAAAATTGTGATGGCATGTCTTCGGATCATCCTCAGGGATGTTTCCCAGACCGTCGCCAATAGCCCATTGTGCAGCTCTAGTGCGACGTAAAT